ACATTTCTCCTATGCCTCAATTTCCATCATTCATTCGACTTTCAATAGAGGAAAATCTGTTCTCCATGGTAGCAAATGTTTCTTTCATTCCTTATCAGATTTGCTCTACCTCTTCTTTTAGCACATTAGCTTTTTTTGTTGTCATTCCATCAAGATCTATGCTCTGATACCAATTTGATATGCCCTGGAATCAAAATCAGAAAGCAACACGATGAAACAACAATAGATTAGTGGAAATAATTCAAATGATGGCTGCTCTCACAAAATACAACAAAAAAAACAAGATATAGAAATAGATCTACTTTTGAGAGGACAACACCACCAAAAGAAGAAAACACAGCAGCCAACAAAAAAATGCTTAGAAGAAAGCACAACAACCAACAAAAAAATGCTTAAAAGAAAACAAACTCTTAGTTTTTCCCTTTAAAGAATCTCCCCCACATCCTTTTGAAAATTTTCCTTTCCAATTTCCCTTCAAACTTGTTTTAATTTCTCCTCCTCGAGTATGTAATTAAGCCTCTTGTGGACACCAAACTCTCCCTGCCTTCTTCTCCTGTGGAAAAATGTCGCTTCACCTCTTCACTCGAACAAGATTGACCTGCCTGTTGGTTTGGCGGGCCGGTGGGAGGGCATTCAACTAGTCCCTATTGGACCGGTCCTGTGATGGGCGTAACAGGTAGTTGACAATCAGGAACAAATCTACTCTTAGCTTCTTCCTAGTTCATAAGAAGCATTAAGATTTCATATTACAACTATGTTCTCTTAATCATGCAAAAATCTATTTGTTTGTAAATTTTCTAAAATGATTGCACAGATGTGACAACAATATTCCTATTCTCCCACACTTGTGTATGTTATCATAATCTTCCACCAGCCTCCTTCCGTAGTACTAGATCACTTATTTTAACTTTATAATTGACCGGTTTGGAAGTAATTTAAGCATGCATGGTTAACATGTCATATTGTTTATGAAAAGTTTAAAGTTTTACTAATTAGCAGATCTAATTTTCATTTTCTAGATTCTAATCCAAGAGAGACATGCAGATTAGTGATGAGACATGATGAATAAAAGTATGAAATATTTGATTGAAAAAATAAACTAAAGTTTACACATGAGTTGGAACAAACAAACCGGAAGACTTCCTCGCTTTGCGTCAAAGAATTTCTCTCATGTACAACTTAAGCACTTCTACTCTGTTATGCCGATGAAAAAAAAAGAAAACACTCGCAGTATCTCTCGCTCTCATTTGTAGTGTTTCTCCACTCTTCATTTTGTGACTCACTGCTTTGTCATCTCCCGTGTTCTCTTTTTCTTCTCTTCTGCTCTCTCTCCACGAGTCTTCATATTAGACAAATTTAAGCCATCCCCCATGAAATACATAATTTATTTCACATTACATTATATTTTTACTTTACATCAAAGACTTAATTTTGTGCATAAAACCTAGTTTCTATAAACATGATTTGGACATTCAATCACTGCAAAGCACCATGTTGGAGAACCAACCCTTGCTACCATTTTTCTATTTTATAAATATTTCATTAGCTCTTGGATACTTTTTGGATATCTCTCGGTACTTTGTAAATCAAACTTATCATTTGTTATATTTATTTAAAAGTTCCATGCATCATTAGCATTATAATTTTACTCTTACTAGTTATTGTATTGTATTTGATCAAAAGGGCTGCAATAATGTCTGTTCGTTTGGTAATTCAAATTTTATAATTATACGTGAAGCTTTAAGTACCTGAACTAGAATGCTCATCTCTTCAATATGATATGGACCATTTTTTTGCTTTTTAGGATAATTAAATTTATAGCACTCGATGCTTCACTGTTTACAAAACTAGCCCCGGATCATTTTTTTCTTGAACTATCAAACTGGTGGGAATTTGATAGAAATGAAAATTCTGAGTTGGCAATTGAAAAATTTGGGTTGGGGTTTTATGTGAATTTTGATACTTGAGTGAGAAATGGATGAAAGAAGGTGCTAATTTTCTAAATGGCAAAGTTTTAAGTGCTTGGTATGTAATTTCCCCTTGCTGTTTCTGTCTTCTTCCATATAATATACCGAGTCATTTGTTTGTGATAATTGCCTACAACTTGCAGTATTTCAAGCCTGGTGTACTGTTTGAGATCCGAGAATATTGAGTCTGTAATGTGCAACGGTCAATGGATTTTGAAGGATAAAAAGATCTCAAATCTAGATGAGGTTTGTATTGCATTATTTCTTTCATTAAATTTTGAATTATAATGATTATTTTTCTGCTGTTCAATGCGGTATATTGATGGTTTTTTCTTCTTGTACAGGAAGAAGTATTTTCTTTAGCAATGAAAGCTTCAAGCGATATTATTAGAAGGGCAGGCATTGCCCTTCCTCATAGGTTCAACTTTTTCTAATGACATCTGGAACTGAATGTGCAGTTTTGCACACCAAGGGTTTGTTTCTAATGTTCGTTTTCCTCTATTAACTGTAGCATCATGCTGGTCTCCCCTTCTCCTTTGTTTTGCATGTATGATCTGTTCGATTTACTTCAAATCAAACTAACAAATAAAATAATATTCATGTATTTTCTATTTTGGGTTTGCTACCAAATAACTCATTCATCTCCTTACTTCTTGGAGAAGATTGATCTTCTCTTACATTTAACATGATCACGAGTTAAATGTTAATCAAAAGATCTCAGTTAAATGAAAATGTAATTGGATGATCTTGTACCTGGTCGACTTAATTGGCTCACCTAGTGATACATCCTAGAAAAATGGTTTTAATCATGCAAGAATTTCAAAGCATTTTGAGCAAGAAACCATTGCAAATATGAATACATAATCATTTGAGCTTTGATTTAGTCAAATTTATACTCGAATTGAGTGACTCACAAGACGAACCCAAAAATGCTAACTTCGATCCAACCTAAGTCTCGTTAAGGTCAGATGAAACCATTTAAGTGTAATTGGAGGTTGTCGATTGAATGTTCAAATAGATTACAAATATGATAAGGTTATAGTAAAATCGAACGTCTTGGTGATACGAATTCAACGAGCCTAAGCTTACTTAATTTTAGCATCATTAAAGCATTTAAATATTAATAAAATATTATCCAATAAAGAGAACCACTCTTGGTTGTCTGATGGAGATTCATACAGTATTTATGGAGTATGTTGCTTCAAAATTTATAAGTAGAGCCCAACTTCCTTCATGAAAGTGGGCACTTGGGATCCAGACCTAGAATTTGAGAAGGCAGATCTAAGCACTGGAGTATTTTTGAGCTCCACCATTGCCGGGCTGCCGCCGTTGCACTCCATCGCCGGACCGCAATCGTCGAGCTCCAACATCGTCAGATTATCATTGTCGAGATCTACCACTGTTGAACCGTCATCGTTGATATCCACCACCGACAAACTGCCACCATCGAACTCCACCACTATCAAACTCCCATCGTTGAGCTCCACCACAGCTGGACTACCGCTATCAAGCTCCA